AAAAGTTCACAAAATCATCGTAATTACTGAGTTATTAATGAAAAACCGTAAACGTATATAAACGTAAACGGCATCGTTCCTGACATCACGTTCTAAAATTGTTAATAACTAATTATTGACAGGGTTTAGGACACTAAAAACTATATGGGAAAGTAGCTAGAGGACCACACTACATTCTTCAATCCTAAAAGTTCACAAAATCATCGTAATTACTGAGTTATTAATGAAAAACCGTAAACGTATATAAACGTAAACGGCATCGTTCCTGACATCACGTTCTAAAATTGTTAATAACTAATTATTGACAGGGTTTAGGACATTAGAAACTATATGGGAAAGTAGCTAAAGGTCCATGCTACATTCTTCAATCCTAAAAGTTCACAAAATCATCGTAATTACTGAGTTATTAATGAAAACCCGTAAACGTATATAAACGTAAGCGGCATCGTTCCCGACATCATGTACTAAAATTGTTAATAACTAATTATTGACAGGGTTTAGGGCACTAAAAATTATATGTGAAAGTAGCTAAAGGTCCACACTACATTCTTCAATTTTAAAAGTTCGCAAAATCATCCTAATTAATGAGTTATTAATGATTTTTCACCGGACCACGTGGCTGAGGCTCTGGGAGGCGGAGCATGGCGGCTCGCCAGCCAATAGGAAACGTTTTCTCTCTGTCCTTCTCGCACACTAGTGCTTTCCTTGTCTAATACCTCTGTTTATATCATGTTTTCCTATTAAGAAATGGTAGTTCAGATCCCTAAATGTTAGATGGCGTTAGTCTCGCCCGACACTTTTTTCTGTCCTTGTCTATCCCTATTTCTTTCCTTGTCTAACACATGGCACTGTTGCTATCCTTATCTACCGCTATTCCTTTCCTTGTATAACACGTGGCACTATTGCTGTCCTTGTCTACCGCTATTCCTTTCCTTGTCTAACACGTTGCACTATATCTATTCTTGTCTACCCCTACTCCTTTCCTTGTCTTACTCATATACATCCTTAGAGTCGTCAGAAATGACGTATTGTCAGGTTAGTCGATTTTTAAAATAGGAATTCTTTGAATATTTTGCTTTTAATAATAATTATCGTAAATTAAAGCATAATTACATGCAGTAAGCAGTTTAAAATGGATACGTATAATAAATTTTTAATTGCTTTAACATTACTTATAATGTAAATAGTAAAATGATGTTTCTACTTTATTTTCAAGTACTTTGATTATAGAATAATCAATGTTTCTAGTTAAATAACAATTTATATGGTAGTTTATAATTATTGGAAGTATTAAATAAATTTGTTGCATGATTTAACTTGATAAAACAGCTTGATTTATTCATTTCTCATTGAATTAACAATTGCATACAGTAGATTAGTTAGAAATTGTTTATAACTTTTATTGAAAATTAAAAAATTAATGTTCTTTTTGTGTGAATTACAGATGGAAGCCTCAATTTACATTGCTAGACCATAGTCTACATTCGCAATGCTATTTTCGTACAATTGTAGAAGTTCTTCGTTCGAATTTCTGCATTATTTCGATTATTACGCGTACCTAACGATATTTCCACTTAGCTTATTTAATTTTGTAATGGAATATTATTTAAAGAATGAGTGTTTCGCAAAAAGAAATGGATCTGGTGTGTTAGGGTGTCATGGATACACTGTAAAATGCTGTAAAATAATACTGGTATATATTAGCCTTTTGTAAAATACATTTTGTACTGTTTTCTTACAATAAATAATTGATTGTTTGATAAATAATTGCATTTCTTGATGTTTCCTGATGTTGAAGTCCTTTTCTTGATTCCTGTGATGGCTTGAGAATGCCATCTATAATTCACACAAAAAGAACATTAATTTTTCAATTTTCAATAAAAGTTATAAATAATTTCTAACTAATCTACTGTATGCAATTGTTAATTTAATGCGAAATTGATAAATCAAGCTGTTTTATTAAGTTAAATCATGCAACAATCTTATTTAATACTTCTAATAATTATAAACTACCATCTAAACTGTTATTTAACGAGAAACATTAATCATTCTTCAATTAAAGTACTTGAAAATAAACCAAAAGCTTTTTTTCACTATCTAAATTATTAGTAATGTTAAAGCATTTAAAAATTGATTGTAAATATCATATAATAATTATTATTAAAAGCAAAAAATTGAAAACATTTCTATTTTAAAAATCAGCTAACCTGACAATTCTTAATTCCTGCCGATTCCCTCGACGATACCTTCGATCCTTCCACTTTGAACGCTGACGGCAGTCTGAACGGAACAATCCCTCTGGTATTTGTTAGAGCTCCCATATTGAACTCTTCCAATTAAAAACTGTGTGACTTTTAATGTTCCTCCCCTTGAAATACCATTCGATTTAAAGTATAAAGACTGTGAGAATGTTTCCAAGCCCCAATAATTTGGAATAATCGTTGCTAGGGCACTCCTTACTACATAGACTGTAACATTCAGAAAATTCCAATTAATTTCCTTCTTAAATTAAGGGATACCCTCTTAAGTAAATTCTATATGAAACATTTTCTTTTATCGATGTGCTTCATTATCGACAGCTGATTGAAAATCATTTATTTCAACCATTTACCTCCGCAACTTCCCCTCGAAGAGTGGTGATGATCGCCTGACTGCGTATGTTCGGTTTATTTGGTCAAGCGTTAACGTCAGAAATTTCCAGATTGTTTTGGTTGGCAATATCTCTGAAGTGCTCGCATATAGAACGAAGACGCGAATAATCTATCGAATTGAAAGACGCGTACTGTTCGATTTAAAAATCGATTTTATTTCGTGCAATTTATTATGGTTGCGTACAAAATTATATTTGAGTAAATAAGAATTCCGATACAATGATAGTAATTGTATTTAATACGTAAGCAAACGATGCACAGTGTTTACATATTACGAACTCACAATAAAGTGTAAATGGCTGTGCATAAAATATAAACAATATCGTTTCGATTATTAATACTAGGCGGAGATAAATGTATTCTTAAAGCCAACAATGATAAATTTCGTTTACAACTTCAAAACCCGTACAATTTTAAATTATTCTTCTACACGTAAAACATACATAATGCCACCTAATATTTGGAATTGAAAATTACGAACTAATTCTACGATTAAATACACAACAGCCGGTTAATCAAAGTAAAGTTCGGATTACAATTGTAACTTATTTAAAATATTCGTTTCAATATAAGGTAGTAGCCACAAAGAGATTTAATACTGAAAACACTTTTGGTCCCTATTGTTTTGGAACACTTAAAACTTCGGGGGGAAAACTTTTATCGTACAAATTTACCAAATAAACGTTTAACGAATAATGTAAATTTTTTACGAAGATCAACAGAAAACAAACACGAAATGAAAAAAAAGAAACATATTAAAATTTGATACCCTTTGTCAACGCTATTTATAACATTACAATCGTCAAAATATCAATTTTACGCAACTGTCGTATAAATAATATATTCATAATTTTATTTTTGATATAGAAACGTTTTATAACCTTTTCTTTTATCGTTTGAAGCACCTTTTCATTTTTCTCCATACAGAACAATACCTGTTAACCTATTTATTTGCATACTGGACACATTTTATACTTCGTATCAACTTAAGTATCAATACTAAGCCACATACAGTTTGCTCAACTAATATTTCTGTGCGTTCATCATGCAATTTAATATAAACCTTTACAAACTTCACTTTTTATATATATCCAAAGTTCAACTTTAATCTTTTGAAGTTAAATTATGATCAGAGGCAGAACCTATTCAGTGCATAAATAGCCATGGCACTGCATTATTATTATTTCATATCGTCATTACCGTTAACGTTATCACTATCTGTACTATTGCTGCATACGTTTTGATTCGCTCGTGATGCAAATTATTCGCAAACTAATGGTCTTAAATTTAATTACGCAATTGTAAAGCAGCATAAGCCACAAATGCGATGCAATCGAAGTTTGAAACAGCATGTCAGCGATCCTTTGTATCATTTATTTATCTATTGTAAGGCAGCCTACCTCAGTTTAAAATTCATTCATTCATCAATAATCGACAATCTATCTAAAGTTGTAACTTAATTATCTCGTAATAATTTAACTTCGGTAGAAACATGTTTTTGTACACTCACATATGTATCAACACTAACATTATATCATTACCATCTTAACATATCTCTCTCTCTCTCTCCCCCTCACTCTCATTTCGATTTTACAAAGATTCACAGAATTTTATCGTGACTAGACTTATTTAGACTATGTGATAGTCTTTCCCGTATAAAATATGGCTAATTTAAGATATACTAAGCCTTAAATGAAATTTCCTCTGAAAAAAGCTGTTTGTAATTTCACTCGCAAAAAATATATTGCATTGATAGCACCTGATAAATTTTAATCTTAATTTCTGCCTTTAATTCATTTTTTCCTATCTAAGTTAAATAATGAACAGTAAATTTTACAAACGAAAGAATTTATACTGTTTTATGAATGATATGCAATGTTTAACCATTTGAAGCACAATTGGCCATTTATATAATGTATTTCTATACTATTAGCGGGGAGATTCCTTTCTTCTTAAAAACATAAAAACAATGTAGTAGTTTTTATACTGTTTGTATATGCTTCAAAAGGTTAAAGCGGTATGTTATGGCATTTTAGTGACGATGTTTATACGAAAAAAAAAAACAAACAAACGAGATCAATATCGTTCACAGTAAATTAAGGAATGAAAGGTAAAACAGAACATCTTTAATTTACAAGTAAATAAATAACATCAGAACGATAAAATTATAATATAAGATCGAAATTTTTAAAACAGGGTGCACAGATTATTAATAGGAAGAAAGTTATTGTCTCCTGGAAGTTGAGTGAAATCAGAATAAAAATAGACGCTTATACGTATAGTAAAATTAAAAAAATATCAACGTGAAATGTAAAAAAATACATTTAAAAAAATACAAAATATGGTATGTGCGGTAAAATCTTTACCGTGTCATTTTTAAAAACCGAGGACTAAAAGGAATATCTTCTTTATACGTGTAAAGTTTATGTACATATGCATAATATAAAAAATTCCCTTCTATCTGAATCATTGGCATTTTTTTGTGTTAATTATAATAATTAATTCTGCGTTAATTACATTAACTTATACACGTATGTATATATACATATATACCTTGAAACAATATAAATATATCTTCGTATTGTTTCAACAATGCAAATATTGAAACAGTAGAATCTTTTCTTTTCTTTTTTAAAAGTATTTCATATATGTTAATTCCGTTGTGTACCCTTTCTTTGAAATACAAAAATACAAACAATCCTGTTAAATTGTAAATACATTATTTATCAACTAGCATTAGTCCATTCACCTGTTTCTTTTAACGCTCTATGTGTTAATCTTTCTATCTCAGTCAAAAGCTGTTCAGTCTCTAAATCAACACATACCATATCCGCTTCGACCGGATCCCATTCTAAACTATTTGGTGTAGACACCCTAGACCAAGGAGATGCTGTCAAACTAGAGGGTTGGCTATTATTAACCGATGTTTGCGTTATAGAGCCGTCGGTACTTTCAACTTTTTCATCATCCATAATTGGCAGAGGCAACCCTGAATACACATTATTTTTATACATTATATATTTACTCTAAAATACAATATTTTAGAAATCCACAAGACTATCTTTACCTTCATGTTCCCACTCTAGATCTAATGAAGATCCAGGAGTGGAAGAGACACATGCTTGTTGTTTCATTAATGTCCTTGCATCAAGAATTTGAAGTGGAGTATCCAATCCAGAACTAATAAATTATATTATAGTTAGCTACTGTTATGTATAAAATGACTATTGCACAATTTCAATCAGTATTATACCTGGTAGAAGCATTATTCTTAGAGTTTAATCTGGCATATTTATTAGTACCCTTTGACCATGCTCCATCTTCTAACAATTCCAATGTTACAGGAACTCCATGTTTTTTCTACAAATATATTATAAAGGTAGAGGAATTTTTCCTGCTAATGAAGTTGTAATAACTAAATATAATACTTCCAATACAGTAATTTCAACAGCGAAATAGACTTATTATACCAAGTACAGTATATAAAAATTTTGATTGTCTAATCCATTTACCTTGAACCGGTTTAAGGGGAGAAACGATAACAGGCTATCCAGGAAGCATAACAATGAAGCATGTAATTAATACAACAAAAATGAAACACTGCCCTAAAGCTCAATACAATTCCTTACGTTTTTGATCCTCTAGATTGATCTGCATCTCCTTTGTCATCCATAAACTACAAATATATTAATGCTTATTTATATATTATGCTTCAAAGTATTCATATATATCATTAAAGTCACACAGCACAGTGTAAAATTATATATACCTCAACTTGTTCGTCTCCTTGGTAGGACATACTGGTGTGTCTTTGGTAAAACCTTAAATTCAAATATATTCTGAATCAGGGCACAAAGGAAGTGTGGATAAGATTACAAAAAAGATAGAAATATTTATACAAAGTTTCTACTGATGATAAAAAAAGGGCATGAAAGATAATGAATATTAGGTCAGGATTTTTTAAGAAACCTTTCTTATTTTGAGATAAAAGACATATCTCTACCTGTACGACAAGGAGTCTGTAACTTTGGAAATGCAGCGGCCGAAACAGGCCCCCATGACCTGTTAACACACGGCGTATCGCCGTCATCTAACTGATATAAGCGTTCAGACACCGATATTCAATTTCACGTGATACGTGAATGATAATGGGAACAAAAGGTGATTCCTCATAAAGAGATGCAGATGTATTAAACGCGATTCATCTCTCCCAAATACAATGCATTGCGGTTTTCAGCGTCTGTCAGTTGCATACTTGAATGCACTTTTGCTCGCTGCAGTTCTACTTGACACGCTTGCGTCGGAGAACAAGCTCGCCAACATTCGGAACAAAGGAGAGTCCCAAGGGGAAATTGAGTCAATTATTTTTTAACTATCTAAGAGTCGAAACTTAGTTATTATTTTAGACACTTACAGTATGTTTGCCGACACGCAGATAATGAAGTCTACCCAAGGTTCAAACAAATTCATTTTACCGATTATTCCTTATTAAAGCAAACATTCATTTAGTGAAATTGTCACTACAAAAAAGCGGTGGTACGATTTGCATACACAAGAAAAAGTAGTTATCATTACTCTGTAGTTTTATAGTTTATGCGAAATGAGAGAACATTTAGTATTTGGCAAACGGTGGTGGTGAAACGAATTGGCTAACGTTTCCAATTTTTATCATGTAAGAGCACCATCTGGTAATCTGTAATCGGTATTACTTAGTGAAATTTTTAAAAATATAATTAAATCCGTGGCAGTATGTTTGTGTGGAAGATTTGATAGATTGGTTTTTGTAAGTAAAATTTTTTAATTAAAAGAATATATAAGCTAACTGTGGGGATTATCAATAACTGGATATTTTTAACCGTTAATTTAGATCAAAGAAGACTCGTCACTGAGATAATTTTAAAACTATGGAGAAAATACTGCAGTAACTGTTAACTAGACGGGGCAACGTTTTTTCCTAATAAAAAGACCAGTATATACATTCATCATGAATTCTGTAATCATATTTTCTTTAATGCTTGTCATATTGCTTAATGTAAAACATGGGTTGTTCATATCACAACATCCAAAACTACTTGTAGTATCATATGATGCATTCAGGTATCTAACATCTCTGTTGCTTTTTCATTTTAACATATATACATTCTGCATTAAATTCATTTATGCTTTATAGATTTGACTACTTTAGTAGAAACTTGACTCCTTACATGAACAAATTGAAACATGAAGGCACATATGTAGATTATATGATGAACATTTTTGTCACTAAAACATTTCCTAATCATCATACAATGGCTACAGGATTATATGCAGAAACACATGGAGTTGTAGATAGTGAATTTTATGATCCTGATTCAAAAAATATAACAAAGTATTCATCTAATTTATATAGTTATGATAATAGAGTACTTCCTATTTGGGTATGTAAACCATGAATCATTATATATAAGTGAGTATTTTTTATAAAACAATTTTATTTATTTTTATGTACAATAGACTATTAATGAAAAAGGAGGTGCTCAAAGAAGAAGTGGCACAATGATGTGGCCTGGTTGTATTTTTGAATACCAAGGAACTAAACCTACATTTGCACAGGTTCATATTTTTTTATTGATACATTTAACAATGCAAATAGAATAAATAGTTAATGCAAACAATACATTTTTAATTTTATTAGAGTTTCAATGAAACTATTTCTTGGGAAGAGAGAATAGATACTTTAATATCATGGTTTGTTCATCCTATACGTCCAATAAATTTTGGAATACTATACATTGAAGAACCAGATTATCATGGCCATGTTATTGGAATAAAAGGAGCTGAATTTGATGATATTCTTAGAAAATTAGATAATATTACTAGGTATCTACATGAAAAGATAGAGTATCATGGTTTACATGATCTTAATGTTATACATTTGAGTGATCATGGAATGACAACTGTTAAAATAGACAGGATAATAGATCTAACAAAATATATTAACAGTTCTGATTATACATTTGTGGGTACTTCACCAGGATTACACATTTTCCCAAATCCTGGTATGTTGATTCATTGTATAAATGTTTTAATTCTTTTATTGATATGATTAAGTAAAATAAGAAATTTCGGTTTTTTAGGTAAGGAAGAAATTATTTATCAGACATTGAAACAAGCAGCAGAGAAGACAATGACATTCAAAGTTTATAAACGGGAAGAAATTCCCGCGAAATATCATTATAGAAATAATACGCGTGTTGGCCCTATTTTTGTCATTGCTGAAGTTGGATATGCATTTCAAAATCTTCTTGGTACTATAGAAGAGTACAAAAAGAAATACAATATTACAGGTAGCACAAATAACTTCAATTCACTAACTCAAATGAAACAAATTTTAAAAAGATTTGTTTATAAAATATTTATTTTTAGTAAATAGTGATTCAGAATTTGGCCTTCATGGTTATGATAATGAAGCAACAGAAATGCATCCTTTCTTTTTTGCAAATGGTCCTGCATTCTCGCGTAGGTGCAAACTGAATACTTTCAATAATGTAGATTTGTTCCCCTTATTTTGTGAGATACTTGATCTACATTGTCCCAAAGTAAATGGTACTTTATCACATGTAACCCAGTGCCTTAAAAAGCATAAACAGGATATCACAGTGATTGCCTATCGTATGATATGTAAGTAATACTTATGTATACATCAGGGGTGGCCATAGCGCGGCTCTCGCAGGCGAGTGGTGCGAAATATGGTAAACTGAAACTGATCAATGTCCAAAAGTAATTATTTTATTTCATTTTTTGTTACAAGTTCTCATTGTTTGTTTTGTTATCAAAGATAAATAAATGGCTCTTTCAAATATTTCTTCCTGAAATGTGGTTTCCAAAGGTAGTGTAGCTGGCCACCCCAGGTATACATTATCATATTTGCAGTTTTTATTTATTATTCCTTATTTTTTTAGTCGTAGCTAGTACTATTTCTATGACAATGGTTGGAATTATAGGAGCAATAGTAATGTTCTATATGAGGAAACGGCGATTAGAAGCAAAGAATTTGAAATTATTTTATGAGTATTAGTTATAGAGAATATTGTTTTCTAAATCAAGTTTTTATCTTCCGAGATTGCCAAAAGTCGAAATGTAAGCGGCATAATAATAATATAACATTGATATTTTAATTTTTCAGGAGATATTATCCAGTGGATGGATAATATGTAAAAAATACCGAGCAACATATGAAATATATGAATTTTCATATTGCGTTAGATAATAAAATGAATTTAAAAAAAAAGATGGTATAATAATAGCATCATGACGAAGAATATATAAATATAATGTTAATTTCGTTTTTTATAAGTAAAGTCTTATTTTTTCAGACTTCGAAAAATAGTGAAATATTAAAATAAAATTGTAGTCTTTTTAAATAACTAACAAGCTTACTCTCTAATGTACTACTTGTAGAATTAGTTGTAATAACATTATAAGTATTTTTGAATTTGTGCAAGAGCATATGTAATTTTGGACTAGCTTTTATTAGGAAATTATTAATTATAATTTAGTGAAACGTACGTGAAAAATTTTAACAATACAATTAGCTATTCAAATGCAACATGCAGAATAAACGTTTTAGCAAGAATTGAAAGATAAATTTCTCATTTATATGTTTACAAGCAAATCTGTGCAAAAAGAGCTGCTTCCTAATACTTTTGTTGCTTGTAAAGCTAATGCCAAAAATAACCAGATTCGACTTTTTGTTTTTAGAAGGATACTGGAAGAATTGGAAGCACAGTACCATTGGGATGAAAATCACGATATAGAAAGTGCTACTTGCAAGTAAATTTTCAAAAATCTGTTTTCAAATTTTCGATTTCTATTTCACATTATTTAAAGAAAGATTGCCTTATCTCTGTACAAGATAAAACAAAAATTCTGAATCTTAAGTCGACTGGCGATGTTGATAACTTATTTCTCTTTTCAGATTAAACAATTTTCCAGATTTATTCATAATTTCATGCCACGCGAAGAATAATCATTTATATGCGAATAAAGAAAATGTTAAATATAGGAAAACTCTTTTACAATATAGGTGACACATTTTGCATGCTAAACATATTATTTTTGAGCACATATAAATGAGAAAATACTTCTGTGATAAAAGAAAAAGAGAATCGATACCTTCGAATAACTTTATGAATAGTGTATATACACATGTGAACAATCATTGTTAGTTCGTATCTTAAGTATACGGAATTTTTATGAGTTTCCATAAAATACTTCCTGTGCGAACTTTTTATTCTTTTAAATTATACAATGCGACGTTTATTACAATAAACATGTATTAAATATTTAAATATAGAAAATAAAGAATTGCCTTCTTGCTTGCATTAATATTGAAAGTACAAGTGGAAATCGAGAAATGTTATGCACGAACGATGTATTTAATAAAAATCATAGGAAACTAATCAGTATATATAGTATTATTTTAGAGACTAGAATATCAAATAATGTATCCTGCATATTCTACCGCAGGATATTTTACAAAATTTGTTCTGCAGACCAAATGTATTTATTATTATGCACTAATTGTATAACAGTTCATATGTAAATACATCAATTGTAAATAAATTACATTAATACAAAATTTATACGATCTTTTTATTTGATAAAACATAACAAGTTCTAAGCTCTCTTAGACTTGATTATTAAAATAACGTGACAAGTTTAACAAGTGATATCATCATTGGTCACCGCTATCTGACCTAACACGTGTTAATAACTAATGCCGAAATGTTTACTGATACGTAATCCATTGATAAAGTGAAATATTACGTTAGAGAAAAAAACCCCTGTTACTCTATTAGACATACTGATATTTTCTGAAGAAATTACGCGGTTCAGAACAGCAAGGAAACATTTAAAAAAGGAACGAAACAAAAGAAAGAAACTTTTATCGTACATATAATAAATTATACCACTTGTTATACTTTAAGTACTGAATTTCTAGTAATCTAATCGTAATTTTGGAATATCGGAACGGCAATAATTCACTGTTAATTATAATGTACTGCGCGTATAATAAGAATTCGTGTCTATAGTTATTATCGATCGAAATTTTTCGATCGAGGTTGAGGTCGAACGCACGTTGCATTCTTCAACATCGATCTACGCTATAATTAGAATCACGTATAACTATTTCCATTGATGCGGTAACAGTCATGTATGGTGATTAACTTGCAAGAAAAGATCAATCATAAGTTGCAGAAGTATCGGTAACAAGGTAATCAATCATCGAAAAGATGTAACAAAAAAATAAAGAAAAGGAAATTCTACAAATTTCATATAATCGAAATTGCAACTTTACATATTTCAATTTTAATCGCTTTACGAACCATACGATCAACCACGATTTACAAATTTTTTTTTCTAAGTTCCACCATTTTTAAATACGTCTATTTTTGAACGTGATTTTTCTATCGACGTAATTACACGTTTTCACGTTAAGCAATCCGGAACTTCAGCGAACTGAGCACAATTACCTGCTACACTTTACAACGATCCACATAATGGACGGGAAATATTTAATAACTTTATCGGCCTTGCGTACGAATCGCCATGGAAAGATTCGAACTGTTCGGGAAATACCGCAAAAATCTGCCGATCTACCTATTTGTAGAATTGCGTGGCGTAATTACACATTTATCATTTATTTCCATGAATTCAATGTCACAATTAATTGACCAGAACTCGCTCGAGATCGCTTATTCGAGGTTAAAGGCGTTGAAATCTCCGCGTACGAAATGCGCGTAAAATCCAAACATAGTCATTATAGTACGACTTTTGCCACGATATACCAGATTTATCTAACGAAAAATTCTACAAAATATACCAGTATGATTCACTCACTTTTTCCAGTATAATTTTAACGACAACTGTATTGTTAATAATGTACAATATCATCTACGAAACTGGACACCGCCATTCATCGTTTCACTGGACGTTATTTTACTCCAACAAAGAACAGCGTTCGACTATTTTCTTAGAATGAAAAACCACGTTTCTTCAGGTTTATGAAAATAGTCGATGCAAATCGTCGCCGTGTGTCATGCTGTGTATACCCTTCTTATTCAGCATTTACATATGGAAATTCTACGTGTGATGTTTTTGATAAATAACACGATAGAATAATCGCTAAAATAGTAGTCGGCGAGGAGGGAAGGGAATCCTATGAAAATCATCGAGGGAAATTACGATTGTGTGTGGCTACTGGAAGGGACATTACGTGCAAGAAGCTGGATAAGGAAGAAGGGGGATAAACTAGGTATCAATCTCTCGATAGCGTACATCCACAAGCTGTTGACACATGATACGAATCGTCGCGCGTGCGTCAGACATCACTCCTGAGGATTTGTAAAATTTTCTTAAAAGTAAGCACCGTGAATGCGTGTCTCTCAGTCAGTCATCAAGCGTGCTGGAAGAAGGTTCGTGAATGTTAACTGTGATTAGCTTTCGAGTACTTGTATGCGTAAAAAACTGGTCATTCGTAAAATCAACCAAAGTTTCAGGAATAACGTAAACTGATCAAATGTTTTTTTCAATCAACTTTTATGTGATGTCTATCGAGAGAACGTTTCGTCTTCCGTTGTACTTGTTTCTATTATCTCGTATATTTTGGACAAAAACTGCTTCGAAATGTCGGAAAGAAAATTTCCTTGTGCTTCGTTTTAACCCTTGATTTGCATACTTTTTTTGTAATATCAGTAGGATACTAATTTTCGTTACCGTATCGCAAGATAAGTGCAGATATCGAGCTTTAACTTCATCAAACGTGATTGAAACCGTTAAATTTCGTCAAACACGCACTAAACTAGATCCCTGAAATTTTTTCGTATTTCGGCGAATCTGTGCAGAAATTTGTACACATTTTAAATTTATAAAAATCGCGCTAAATCTGAAAGATTGTACTGTGACATTTAATAACGAAAAAAAAAAAAAAAAAGAGAGAACAGTGTGTTATGTCAGAGTTAATTCCATTGAAATCGTAAAAATTGATCGAGAGAGCTGATTCGCAGTCTTTTAAAATTTTTCAATTCGCCAAGATTTTTTTCCAATTTCAGACCAAAGACGAGGTTCAGGATGCTGTTTACATGTTTGGCGTTAATTGCTGTGCTCCATCCAGCGGTTCACGTGGTGCACGCTCAAGGTTTGTGCTTGAAATTGTCTTTCTCTTGCTCGTGCATGCGCTTCAAATTCCATCGCGGTCTCGTCACTGCAGCCTTCGTACACTTTCGAATTGGAAAATCCAAACCTTCGGTAATTACCGATAAAAGAATAAAGAAAACAAAAAAATCTGAAAATTTACGCGGTGACGAACGCAAAAAATTCCGAATCTTTTTTTTCCATTTTTCACGGTCGTAACGCCCGAAGCAGCACGCGTCACGACGTTTAATGGTCTGCAAAATTCGATTTAACTGCACACCGCTGCTACTGCGTTGCCTCGCGCGATGGAAAATGTTTTCTTAAAAGTCGCCGGGAAGCGTGCGCGATAATACACGTTGTAGTGTTTCAACGTTGCATAATATCAGCTATAACATCGTCGACGTAAAAACTAGCAACGCGAAGAAAGTGTCTTTGATCGACGAACTCTACGATACCTCCGACGACATCCTTCGTCGATCTTAACGATCCTTGGAGCTACATTCTTTTTTCCTCATGTGTCATCTCAAATTTTCCTCGCATTAACTGTTTCACCGAGTGGAACAACCGCGAGGGGGAATCCTCTGGTACAGTGGTCAGCTTTTAAACTAGAAAGTTGAGCAATCGGTGACGTGTGATCGTCTGAATACGACCAAGGTCCGAACCTTCGAACTGTGAGAGAGAAATACATAGCGGAGGTCAAGGAGATGTAACGTTGGAATTGCCACGTTTCGCTATAATCCGAACGATCATCCAGTTCCAGTGTATTGAGATGGAAAGTCGATTACAGATAGAGAGAGAGAGAGAGAGTGATCGGTTGAAATAAAGCTAAATGAACTGCGTAGTTACATTGTCGAATGTGATATACGCGTGTATGCACGGTACTTCCTTAATATTGTATCGAACTTGGCTAATTTACTTTAACGAAGTTTTAACGATCTATAATTACCAACTTAAGCCTTGAAGAAGAGTGCTACAGAACTCGAACTCAATTATGTCATATCGGCGGAGACCAATTATCCAACTCGTTATTAGGCACATTATGCAACAGTTTCTTTTTACCTCATCTTGCAATTAACTCGTTCGATTCTATAACGCGTCCTCTTTGTGATATTCTAAGCGAGACAAATTGACGAAGACTGCTCGATTAAGACGTTACGATGGCGATTTCGTTTATGGTAGTGGAATACTCAGATCGTAATTTTACGAACTTCCTAAATGTACTATGGTACATTTGTCTGTAGATTACCGTTGTTTATCTAGAGACTCTAACGTTACTCTCGCGTATTTATGTTGTAGAAGTTTGCTCGTTAGCTTACAATCAGAGGATTTCAGGCGATACGAATGTGAAGTCTGTTAAGAGAGAATTTACGACGATATTCACACGATATTTTCCTTCGATATGAATAATTATCGATCACGGGAGCCGTCGATTGAATACACGTACACCATTACGTGTGCACACCTCGTTCCCTGAAATTCTGCTCGGATGCATCAGTCCGCGAATGCTAATTTCAAATTTGATCAGGAATCAACAATTCAGCCTGTACCTTGCACGCGAAATTGCGCAATGAAACCCCGCGTAAAAGACAAATATATATCTTTCGCGATAATTTTCTGAGAAATCAGACGCCGGTAATATCGAGCGATGCTTGAAAATGAACATTCGCATCTTGCTTAACATTCGAGGCATGGAAATCTGACATGTTGCATCGAGGATCGATGAATAATTCCGTCCAAATCAGTTTTCAAGACTGTCGAACCTATCTACGATGCAGAGAGCGTTCATTGATTAAGCGGTTTCTACTTAGACTCCGAAGTTTCAATATTTACCAGGCTCAGGATGTGTCGCTAATTTAATTACGCCTGGAATATTCCGAAAAGATGCCTCATCCTTCGTGAAGTAATTGCGCTTTCGTATTGTCGGCGTAGTAGTAAGCGATTTTTAGTAGTTTCTCGCGAAAAGAATCTGAACTTCTTCATGGATACGACAAGAATTGGAAGAGTTACGAAAACTATACCTACACTACCGGCCAAAAATTTGGAATCACCTGCCAATTTACATCAATATCGAATCCGCTACTAATCCATTATTGATCTGAAATTGATGTTGTGGAGATCAATAGCACTTTACCTCGTTTCAATTGATTTGAATGATAACAAATTCGTTAAAAAATTATTATAAATGATAACTTTTTTTTTTAAGAATTTTGCTGCAACTTGCAATGCATAGTGATTCCAAACATTCGACCGGCAGTGTATTCTATGGAATTTTCATTAACGAAAGTATGACACGTTCATAGTTCACTGTTTATCCCAAGAAAATTGAATAGTAATTAAATCTTCTGTATCTGTAACAACCACTGACGATTTAAAAGAAAATCATCGAAACTTCGTCTATCTTAACTGCAAAGTTTACGCAACTAACGTAAGATTTCCTGACTTCTCTGCGCCGCCATGCTATTCACGCGTGACTGATGCTTCCCTTGCCTAAGAAACGTATTTTCCCAATGTAGTCTAATAATTAGCCTAAACGGTTAAACCGTGACAATCGAATTTCAATTGACCATATTGCCTTACCTTTTTGTCCTAGTATTCGTAAAAAAAAAATGATTAATTACCGTTCTGAAATTCGAAACGAAGCGCCGCGGATTACACGCTTGATGCAATTGATAAAAATGAACTTGGATAATGAAAAAGATGGAAAAATTTCAGGTCAGTCGTGCACCACGCCGAATCAACAGCCAGGCGTGTGCATCAACATCAAAGTCTGCGAGCCCCTGAAGAACCTTTTGCAAACGCAAGGTCTAGCTGCCGGTGATTTTCTAAGGCAATCGTTGTGCTCGTACGTGAACCGCGAGGCGATCGTTTGCTGCCCTGGGGATCAAGGGAGAGACAGCAAAAAAGTGAAGGAACATTCCTACGGACCGTTGTATCCTCCACAATGTGGTTTCAGCAACAGCAGCCACACAAAGGTGGTCGGTGGCGTGCCAGCAGAGCTCGGTATTTAAGCGCCATTACTTTTACTTCATTTGTACATTTACGAAATAACACAGAAAGAGAGAGAGAGCAGATAGTCACGACGAAGAAAGAGTGAAATTAAACGAGGGATTAAGTTGTTGAATCAGGTGTGGTAAAAGCAATGGTAATTGATAAAGTGCAAGAATAAGGATATTTTGACGAAGATACGAGGTGTCTCGTTTGTAACGATCCTCTAAATTGAAAGCAAGGTATCCTGATAAAAAGTCCTTCTAGCTTTTCTTGAAGGGAACTTTCTTTTATAATATCATAAACTCCCCTAATCATGGGAGATGAAGTTACTTATGACAGTGAAGCATTCTTAGGAAAGCATTTCATTCAGGATACGCTTCTTTAAATTACCATAGTTATTCACGATATCTGTCATATTTTCAGGTGCATGGCCCTGGATCGCCGCTCTAGGGTTCCGCAACAACGCAAACCCTTCGCAGCCGTTATGGCTATGCGGTGGTTCCCTGATATCCGCCAGACACGTTCTAACAGCCGCGCATTGCGCAGTTCGCAAGGATTTGTACGTGGTTCGTATCGGTGATTTACTTTTGCGAGACGACAACGACGGAGCACATCCGGTGCAACTCGAAATCGAAAGCAAGATACTCCATCCTCAATACCGTGCCTCTGAATTTGTGAACGATATCGCTGTGCTTAGATTGGTCGAGGATGTGCCACTTTCAGGTAAATCTTCGTTTAACGAATCCAATCAACTACAGTAAATTCTCTACAAGTGTCAGTCAGTTTGGATTCTACAAGTGTCAGTATAGATGGTCCTACGCCTAGGTCTGCGTCATTGCTGCGCCTATGTTATCTCGCTCATTCATAATAGAAAAATATAATTTCTTTAATTTTACTTTTTTTCATCTGAAATATTTTTTAACATGTCGGTGAGATTTTTCTGATGAAAATGATATCAAACACGACATAATTCGAACAACATTTACTTATTAACACGTTCACTGTCTGGCGTGACAATATGTTAAGAAAAATTTCGGGATAAAAAAACGTAAAATTAAAAAAGTTGGTATTTAAATCGCTTGGTTGTCTCGACTCACGTATCATCCTTATCTTTTATTCGCTGTCCTTGTCTACGTTCGGCAAACTACAAAGGCGGGCGCGAGGCTCGAAAACGTAGTCCCTGACTCTACAAGTGTCAGGTTTAGCTTCCTTGCGGACTGACACTTGTGGAGAATTTACTGTACCTATTTTATTTCCCCGTTTAATGCAAATTAACGACAGCTACGATCGGTTATCAAGAACTGGAAGAACGTCAAGGATAAATGGAATCACGTTCAACAACAACTCTGATTCGTTCAATTTATCTTTTACACGTTTCGTTAACGTTATACGATTCGCTCATTTTTCAGATTACGTGTATCCGATTTGTCTACCTGTGGAGGATAACCTTCGAAACAACGATTTCTACCGGTATTTCCCCTTCCTTGCCGGGTGGGGATCGGTTGGATTCAGTGAGTACACTCATTCCGGTACTTAGAATCTCGTAGACGTCTATTCTATCTATTTTTTGTTTCATTTCACAGGAGAACGTGCTAGCGACGCTCTCCTAGAAATTCAAGTACCTGTAGTCAGCACTGATTCCTGCAAACGAGCTTATTCCGCGTTCGCAAATTCGGTCATCGACCATCGAATATTATGCGCTGGATACGGACGTGGTGGCAAAGATGCCTGTCAGGTGAATAAATTACGGATTCGCTATAAATAACGCGGTGATCGAGGAAACGTCACGATTGGACTTGATCAAACAAATCTTTATCAATCGACAAACTTCTCTCGATATCTGTCCTAATATTTGCGACACTCGAGATTTTTATTTCCTTTTCTGTTTTTTTTTTTTATTTTGTATTTGAACAATTTTTATCGCATTAAGTGAATTGCCATTTTTTTTGTTTTCTCATTTTTTATTATCGTTTCAGGGTGACAGCGGAGGACCGTTGATGTTACCAAAGGCATCGACGTTCTATCAAATTGGTGTGGTGTCCTACGGTTACAGATGCGCCGAACCAGGATATCCTGGTGTCTACACCAGAGTCACCGAGTTCCTCGATTTCATTATCTCGTCGTTGCAATAACGCGATACAGAGAGTGGCTTTCCACCAGTACACACGCTTTTCATGTACCACGTGGAAAATATGTCGAAGTCCGTTTGTCGTTCAGACAAGAGGGCGGAACTCTAATTTCCAGTATTTTCTATACCACGCTATATACGGGTTTTAAAAAGGCACGCTTCGAACTTGCAACGTTTTGTACAGAGAAAAGGATGAACAAAGAATACTCTTGATATAACCTTTCTTCTTGTCTCTTTCCTTCAATGTGAATTGTAAGAAATTCTCTTGAAATTTGATTTTTCCAAGTATCGAGGGGATTAGTTAGCTATTCTCTTCAGAACACATACACCATGTACAAAGTTCTCAAGTACTTCGCCGCGTTTTATAAAATAGAGAAGTTGCCGGAAGTTTGGCAACATAGGGCGCATAAAGTACAAGATAAGACTCACATCTTTCGAAACTATCTTTTATTCATCGAGAAGTTTCCCTCTATACCGTTGAATCGTTTCAATTTCTCTCTCTCTCTCTCTCTCTCCTATTTTCCTGTTTTCAGTTGCAAATTCACATTGGCTCTATCTTTAGTTGCAATTGTACACTTGACGGCAAAACAAATGAAATACCACGTTGAAGGAAAAAGATAGAAGAACGGTCGATATACAACTTGTTATGTCTAACTAAATAAAAAACGCTTTTGTGTTAAATCCAATTGTGTGGCTTATTGCGTACGCAGAATCGTACAGCATTATCGTAAATTACCTTGAACGAGACATAGAGGAGTCGATAACAGGCTATCGCAACTTTATTTCTTGGCGCGTTACACGGAAATGTTAGTATATCTGGGCACCGTCAGATGTCAGGATGTCGGTGATAACGTCGCACGTGTTACGTTGCCGAGGTTTAAATAAGTTGGCTATTCCGCTTAGATTAGCTGCGACCGGTGTTCTCGTTAGTCCTCGTCTGTCTCCCGTGTTTAAGTATTACGTGAGAAATATGTCGTACGCGACCGTTGAAAAGGGTGCACTGAACAGCACTGATTATAAAATTTATTTCAGTAAGTATTACGACGACATAACCTTAAAGCGCATCACCTTCGCGCTATTGAATTTATCCAAAGGTCAGGTCAGCACGTCATCCCGTCACGCTTTATTACAATTTCCAAGTGTATTATTATGCAGTCGTGTGTTTTTCGTAACGTGATTCTGTGCACTTTGTATCACTTTGACGTTACACAAGAACTGATGTTAGATTTTTTTCCCTCGTTGAGTCGCTCAATCCGCATTTCTTCCGAAGATTTTTACGCGCATTTTTCTTTTTTTTTTTTTTTTTGCACTATAATGTATGAAAATGTTTGAATTCCTTCGCATTTCTGCCGATTCTTAATCGTTCGAGTTGTTATCTTCTGGAAGGAACGAGTTCAGAATTGTGTCAGCATGACATTTGATTTTGGTGAAAGGATTTGAACATTCTTTACTCTAAAAAAAAAACTTGGCCTTCTATTTCTCACATATGTTTAGAACTCGCTGCTACTTTTCGCTAGCGTTTCCTTCAGTTTCGATCGATATTTTAATCGTCGAAGTTTTTTTTTGAAAACACTTAATGAATTTTTTATAATTTTTTAACGATCATCACTTAAAATTTCAAAAATTTTAAAATATTACGTGCTACACTTTTGCATATGGGAAATTAGTTTTATGGAGGAATATGTTCCTCATACAAGCTACATTTTATAGGAGATAATACTGGCCCAATTTCTCCTATGCATGACATTCCACTTTATGCTGATGAAGCTAATAAAACAGTGAACATGGTTGTTGAGATCCCAAGATGGACAAATGCAAAGATGGAGATTAACCTTAAGGAGACATTGAATCCTATTAAGCAGGATGTCAAAAAGGGCAAACTGAGATATGTTGCCAATTGCTTCCCTCATCATGGCTATATATGGAATTATGGTGCACTGCCACAGGTATTTTTAACCACTTGACAAAACAATAGGTAGAGCATTGCATTATCAGTGCAAAAAATTGGAACACAAAGGAACTTGTAATTACATTGTGATAATAGGTGATGATGTACTTTTTCCTTTATGACATCATTTAATTCTTATAGAATGACATCATCAATTTTATTAGTAATAATTCACCGAAGGAAATAGTGTTTAAATGATAGAGACATTTTTCTATCCATGAATATTCCATTGAAATGTACATATGAACAATGCCTTATCACTTCTTATGTAAAGTCTTTCTTAGTTCAAGGGTATCATTTGTTATCTGTGTCTAACTATGTCTGTTACTCAAAGCTTAGATCCTTTTCATTTCTTCCTCTATGTTCAAATATTTTCTGAATAAATACTTGAAATATGTTGTAACATAAAATGTTTATGCATATTATTTTTTTTTCTATAAATAGACATGGGAAAATCCAGAAGTGCTAGATGAAGCTACTGGATGCAAAGGAGACAATGACCCCATTGATGTCCTTGAGATAGGATACAGAGTAAGAAATTCTTCTTCTAAATGAACCAGTAATAAATATTAGTTCATACTCAATGAAATATTCATTATTAGGTTGCAAAAAGGGGAGAAGTCTTGAAAGTGAAAGTGTTGGGTGCTGTTGCACTTATTGATGAAGGTGTGTATGCCTGAATGAATAAAGATCGTTTCTTTGAATATTTGATCTTATCTTTGATTATTTCAGGTGAAACTGATTGGAAGATCATCTGTATTGATGTCAATGATCCTTTGGCAGAACAAATGAATGGTAGAATTCATCTTCTACAGCTTATAACAATATTGAATGAATTTTTTTTTTTTCAATTTGAGAAATTTTTTCTAATATTACAGATGTATCTGATATTGAGAAGCAGTATCCAGGTTTAATGAAGGCTACCATTGAGTGGTTCAAGATTTACAAAATTCCGGACGGTAAACCGGAGAATCAGTTTGCGTTTAACGGGGAAGCAAAGTCAAGGGATTTTGCCTTACATATAGTGGAGGAAGTACATCAACACTGGCAGAATCTTGTTAAAAGAGAAGCTCCCGCTGGTGGAATTGCATGGTTCGCATATTTCATTTGGAAAAAAAAAAAAAAAAAAAAAACTATTCGAACTGTATCGTAAAAACTGATATGTTTACAGCACTAATACAACTGTAGTAGGCAGTCCCTTTAAAATTACTTCAGAAGCTGCTGAAGAAATATTGGAAAAGGCTCCAAATACACTGGAGCCTCAAGCAGTGGATCCAATTGGTAAGTAAAAATTGTAAAAATACCGCGAAAAAAAAAATTTGAATATTTACTTAATTGTAAGGTAAGATTTGATTGACATATTGATATGATTCACTTTCAGTCAATAAATATCACTTCGTTGAACCACTCCAACACAAATTATAAATGTACTCAAGATATAAATCCTCAAAAAGCTTTACCTTTCTCGTACCTGTCGTACGGCTTTATTGTTATATGTATTGTATACGTTCTCATAAAATAATCGTTATTAAAACCTGATATTTGATTTCAGTCGATAAATGGCACTATGTGCATCTTAAGTGAGAGTAAAGGGGGTATTCTCACATCAATAGATCTGTTGATGTCTGCACACACATGCTTGTTTTGATGGCACATAACGGAATACCATGTATTACTCCCACAACTTACTTTACAATAAGTTTTGATACATTTAATAGTTATAGATAGTATTTAAGTATTAGAATATGTGCTTGCAGTACCGAAACAAGCAACATCCATGTATCTTATTTATTTTAGTATACTTGTAATTATTCAATTGGAACGAATGTACAAAGTTTTCTCAATATGATTGAACAACCTATTAAAACATTCTTGTTACTGTACTGTACGTGCATAATTATAATGGGCACTAGGAACTGAATATACTCATGTTAAAGGTTGTGATACAACTTTCCATAGGTATCCAGGCATAGGGCATACTAGATGAAAGTAAACTTACTTTTTCTCCAGTATTTGTTATATTGCAGATATTATGTAATACAATAAATCAGTTTGCGACTTAACCTTTCTCGTTGGAAGCCTTAAATTCTCCATCCCTATTCCCTGCTCTTAAAATTTTCATATTCGAAAGGTGGTGTAATAACGTAAAAGAGATATAATCACGAAAAATAATAACAGCAAAATTTCGAAAAGATTGATGACCGAAGAGAAACTTTAAACTAGATTAGCGGTATACATAATACTAGCACGAGGACCGGCTTAATTGTAAAGAGGAGATCGTTTATACTTCGTGATCGCGTCGAAGGTGCGTGCTTAGCTACTACATTCCACAGGAAGTGGTCTCTGAGGAGACATTCGTGTCTGCTTTCGTAGTGTGCTTAAACATACGAGCCACGAGGCGTATACATCGTACTGCAGGACACACATCTAACCGGACCAGGGAGACGAATCGGCCCTTTGGTACGATAAATTTCGTGCAAGTTCTGATATACGAGAAAGAAAACGAACCATGGAAAAAATATAAAAAGTGACTTCAAAATAAATTTTCAACAACTACGTTGAAAATTTTCTAAAATTTTCTATAGCAAAAAATATAAAACCAACAGAATGTTATTAATTTTTGATAAGACGCATAAACAAGATTTTTTCTTTGTCAATTCGTGGTTAACCTGTCAGATCACGAGGTAGTCGCAAAGCTGAACGAATAGTCTAACAAATATGAAGCATAAACTACCTATTTGCGTCAGCTTAGTAACCTTTCCTCTTTTGTCTTTCCCAGTGATGCGATCTATTTCGCAGAGGAAATGTCTGCGCGACGTTGTCTTCCTGGTTTCTACTCCCACGGGAAGTGTCCGCGCACTTCCACCCGAGGAAAATAGCTGGATAGCATGGGGAAGGGGGTTAAGATACAGTGCAAGTTGCGCGGTAAGAAAATAGTAAGACAAATTGCCACACGACAACTTTCCACTCGAAATACAGGCCTGCTTTTATGTCTCTAAGTACCTTCGAAGGAAGGTACGAAACTTAAAGGAATGGTAGAAAGTATATATGTATGTACCTTTGCTCGCTTCTATCTTGGTACTACTAAAATCTTCAACATAACTCCTGAAAGTATAGCACCATAATGTACAAACACACACCGTCTCTATTACTCGAGGATCTTTGCCAAGGTTAGGTCGCGATAACACTAACTTTTCTTTAAAAGCTCGATAACTCGCTTAGGCATTCGTCACGAGATATTTTCGCGTCAGAAATGCCCGCAACTTTTTCGACTATCATCCCCACCCCGTCGACCTTTCCCGCCATTTTTCGCATCAATTCAAAAGGCAAGCGGCAGTCATTTACGTCTCATCAACGTGCTCTTAAATAACCATTACCGTCTAAATCCTTTTCGTAATTGTTTACAACAGCTAATTTAACGCCATTAACCCAGAAAATAGTGGAACGGCCAGATTCATTTCCAGCCGGATCATTTATCACGGAACCTCTAATCCCAGACCCGAGCTGCAAGGAGCGAAAAAAAATTGTGCACCTAACTTCACGTCATTTCATGGAATTTTCTAAATCCTATTCACTATATCTTGTTATACCTATGTTTCTTAGCAGCGCGATAAAATTCCACAGATTTTTAATTAATCGTAGTTTCACATACCTACTCCTTCGATACACATTGAAACGTCATCGAACGTAATGAAATATCCTATAAAGGGGGCTACGCATCAACAGTTCGTGACTGCTTTAGAATCATCCGTCAAAGTCCCTTAATTCGACATGGACTCCAGAAGAAAGTACATGACAGAGAAAGAAAGAACGGAGGGACAGAGAGAGAGAGAGAGAGAGAGAGAAGAAAATGGTATCGAAGAAAAAAAAAGAATCTTGCCAGGTCGGTCCGCTTTCTGGACGAGTATCCGGTGCGAGACTGGATTCCTCTTGTCGGTGCCCTCCTGCCGAATTCCCCGCGCCCTTTTTTTCTCTCTCGTCAACTCACTGGCAACACCGGCTAGGTGAACCGAGAGCAGGTGGAGGTATTGACTGGCGCAGTGTAGCACGCGCTCGCGCGAATCTTGCTACCAGAGAGACTCGTCGAGGCAGACGTAACCCGTAGAAAAGGAACAGAGAGAGAAGGGTAGTCAGCTTATATAGGTGACCGCCCGCGGCCCCCAGCGTCCCTCCTCCTCATTCGCCGGAATCCGACCAATGAGCGGCCATGCGTCTGTGGTAGTGCGGCGTCGCCTCGGCTCGGCTCGCGCAGTCACAACTCGTTCGACCGTCGAGCTGAACGCTTCCGCTTCACGGGATACGGGAAACACGAACGTGTCGAACGTTTACGTGCGCGCCTTTTCACCGCTGTCATCCGTCGCCGGAGAGATTCTTTGTTCGTTATCGGTCGTGGTCAAATTGAGTCGCGGTGCACGTGTCTGCGGAGTTCTGCGCGGCCTCTCGTCTCGTTAGTTCACGGTGGAGGACGGTGCTCTCCCGCGGGAATAAGAGCCATGCGATTTTCGTGGGTGTTCGTGGCCACGGTGTTCCTGGTTCTGGTCACCGGGGCGAGGTGCAAGAGGAAATTCGACGGGGATTTCGAGTTCGCCGAAGAGGTGAGTCGTTTTGTTTCGTTCACAATCACACGACGTTTCTGGCACGCCTTTGTCAATCGTTATTCGATGTCCGATCACCATTGACTACAGTTAATGTTGTGTCACGACGCATTTTCGAGCAAGTGAAACTGCGATATGCGCGTGATGATCCGTCGTACGTTAAAAAGCGCCGGTGTTCGCTCTTCTTTCCGTGTAATGAACCGGAAAGGGGAAAAAAGCACAGTCGCGAATCGGTTTCTTTGAATCCGCGTTACGTGCTGTTTACACGGAACACTTTGTTCGAATCGTGGAATTCTACTTGACGCGGTAAAACGATTCTCCATTGGAACGCGTCGATTGGCTGTCAGCCGTTTATCGATAGGACGAAGATCGACTACAGTCGCCTGTTCTACGGTGGTTATGTTTTTCGCGAAGTTAGTCGCAAGATGTAACGGCATATTCGAAAAATTCGATCATATTTACCACGTTCGTGTTGTCAAGGATACCGATCCAGGTAAAACGAGCCACGAAGGTTGAGTGCATCGTAAAAACGTCTCTGGATAAAATAATACGTTGTTTTTGTCTTCATCTCGGGGATTTTGGTCTGTATTATGGTTCTTTTCAAACTTGTTACCGAATGCGTCTGGAACCGTTTCATTTTTCCGAGTGGTTCGTGAGAATGAATATACACGTAGCGTCGAAGATTCGAGTAAGGTAAATTATCTCAATTTTTGTTAATAAACGGGAACGTAATTGGCGGTGACCTTTCTTTAAAAGCGTCCATAAAATACACGTTTATGGCCGCGGTTCATTAGGTAGCCGGGCAGCACGCAATGCAGGCACTTTTACTTTCACGTAACTGGATCGCTGCTCTAATGCAAGTTATCGGGTGCAATTGTTTATTTTCTCCGGGACGATGGCGTGTTCACTTTCTATACGTTCGATCTCGCCTAGGTAAACACCGTGATCGAAAATAATTATGACGCACGCATATAAGCTTGTTTGGTGCGTATGTGCGTATGCACGTACACCTTGCGGTACATGTATCGCGATTCCATGGTGCGTGCATTATATGCTTTAGAGTGCATGTAAATTTTAGAGTACAGCTAGCGCGAGGTACGCTTTCGACTGCAATGCGGGCAGTCAAGCTACAAAGGCAACAAAAAGGAAGCTCGTGTAAACTAAGCTCTCGTTAAGTCTTCTTCCGTTTCACGTGAAAATAATTACAACATTACAGCACGGTGCTTAACCTCTACTTATAGTGGAATTATTTATACCGGATAACCTCAAAGAATGTACGTACGTATTTATATAAAACTATTTTTCGCTTTCACCCTTGAGTACCACCCACGCACTGTGGAACATTCCATGCAGGGTGTATCTTTATCGACTAAACTCACGTTACGAGTGAATTTAGAACGCCATATTTGATTTTTCTTCACGTTCGAACATGTACAATTCTAAATGGGATCAAATTTCACAACATGACGAAATATCCCATCTCTCCAAGTTGTATATACTTGGAACAGTGTTTTCGTTCCGTTCGAAACTGAAAAACATCCCCGTGTTTTTGTTCTATACGCAGTAGCTCTCTCGAAACTCTGACCTTGTTTTCACCGTGCAAACACTTGGGCAGTCGCAGCTGTTTCGCGGAATCGTTTCGCGTTTCACAGCTAACCTTTAATATCCTCGAACTAATAGGGAATCGGGAAACAAGGTCAGAAACAGAACACACGTGCGTGTCTATCTTGGTTGTGCTGTTCTCGGTTAGCATATTTTTCGGTAAAGGCTCTCGATCGAAAGGTTCGTTTTATTGCGTGCAGCTTAATATCCCGCGCGCACTCTAAATTTATGAAGCGGCGTTTTCAACGTCGCTGCCCCAATTTTGCCATTGCTATAACGTTATAACTCTATACGCTGCTGCGCCGTATGCACCACCGACACTTGACCCTCTTATCTTTTCTCTTTCACAATCCGCATTGCCATTTTTCGACTCACCAGCGCGCGAATGGAGAGGAACACGCGTCGCGTCGCGTTCCCTCCGTGAGAAACAGTTGAACCACTTGCCAATAACGCCTCGCCTTCGCGATAATTGCGTTTTTTTCGCCGTTGTTTCCCCTTGTTACCTCGCCAACAGCGTACGGCGCGTCGCGTCGCGTGGAAACTGACTGCGTTTTCGCTCGTGGGAATGCGGCAGCGATAGTAGGTATACGGGGTGGTCTGTTAGTAGCTTAATTGTTATTGGATAATTCATCAGAGATTAGTGTTGTTTTTTTATCAACGTTACAGAAAGAGGTGTTAAAGAAATTATTCAATTCGCGTAAAGGTGATAATTATTATTATTTTCCTCCATTTATGAAAAACGTATTCCAAATGCAGTTCGATTGAAAAGAACGACGAGTGTACATATACAAAAGAGCGATCTGATATTTTATCATCGTTGCAGACAGCAACGAATTTACCATGGAATATCGTAATACCTTTTCAAGAGAATGATAATCCCTGTTGAATAGAATACGAAAGTTGAATTTTTTTTTTTTTTTAAATAACTCTTTCTTCCTTCGAAGGGGTTGCATCCCTTATTGTACATAATTATGCAACACATTTTCCTCGTTAAATTAGTCGACTGTTCATCGCGTTTAATCATAATAATCCGTCGATGATTATGTCTGCACGATGAAATACTGATATTGTGCAGCTAATTACGCTGATATAGATTTCGTTTCTGTTTATTTAGACAATAAGTGAGGGGGTTTATTGAGCATCCCCTGTGTAAAAAGGGTCTCTAATTAGAAGAAGTCGGTGTGTTTCGTTCTGTTTGCTGGAGAATCGTGTTTTATCGATTTTGTTTAGTATATTTATTCCAGCTATTCTCTCTCTCTCTCTCTCATCTGATGCATTTATCTACTTTTGGCGGGCCAGTTTGTATAAATTAACCTTCGTTTTCGTCGATGTTTTTTGCACGATCCCTCTCTTCGATCGTAATTTCTGCGATCGTTTGTTTGCTGCCTCGTTTCGAGAGGGGTGAACGCACCGCTCGTGTGTCGGCTTTTATTTTTCCCTTTTTTTCCCTCTCTTTTCTTCTCTCTCTTTTTTTTTTTTTCGTTCGTTCACACGGTTATCGATTGGCCAGGCGATTTTAACGTCGGTACCCGCGACCGCGAGAGATGATGCACAACGCCGTGGAATCGATCGATTCAAGCAGAAACGGCAACTTTGTTTCCATGCTCTCGCGGCAACTTCCTGGACGCGAATTACGCTTATCATTTATTTACCCTGACCGAAGCCAATCGATCAGACTTGATTCGATAACCATTGTCCCGTGTTCAGAACCTCCTCGACTGGAAAGTTTCTTGCCTTTTGTTCTTCCCTCCCTCTCTCCACCGTCACTCTTTTCTGGTTTTACAGATTTCGAGTGAAAAATAAAATTGCCCCCGTTCAATTTTTATTCCATTCTTCTTTCGCAGCTTTTCTACTTCGTTTCGCAACCGTACGAAAATTCACGAGGTTCTCCCTCCGGTGGAGAGATCGAAACGAGGGATAAAAATCCGGCCAACTTTCTAAATCATATTCTCGAAGAGAACTTCTCCATATTGATCCATTCGTTTCCATTTCGATTCGAGTGAAAAATTCGGAAGATCGCGGATGTTTGTCGCAGTAAGATCGAGGAAGAAGAAAGGTCGCGGTCGTGGAAGAGATAGGTATTTAAGAGCGTAATTGCGGAGGATCCTCGCGTACAGGTGTTCCATTACGTCGAAGACGTTCGAAGGCACAGGCGGAGTTGGCCTTTACGAGCGTGCTATACGAAACGACGTTCGTTACAGCCACGTTATTGCGGATCGTGCTTACTCCCGTTTTGTAATTTCAATAATCGAGCCGCAGCCTTGTCGCGAACCACACCGCTTCTCTCTCTGTCTGCGTTTCTTGGTGGAGATGCGGTTTGCAGTGTGCACAGAGAACGAGCCGCCGCCGCTTTCCATCGGCAGAGAGAGAGAAAATCGATTATCCGTGGCGTAATGGAAAAGAATTCTCCTATCGATCGCCGCGGAGAATACCGTGTGACCTAGTGGCGCGAAGGTAAACGAGCATACCGGTTGCACCCGCTCTTTTTCACGACCTATTGTTCCTCATAAATTACTACTTACCCCCTCCATCCTCCCTCCACTTGGTCACGATAGTAATTTCTGTTGGTAGGTTCGGTTCGTACTTCACGACACGAACACACTCTACCCCTCTGGCCGTTCGTCGCGTCACGAGAACGTAATAGTAATAATAGATATCGAATGGTGCATATTTTATCGAGCCAGACTGTGCACAGTTTCGCGTTCTTTCGTCGTTTCCCTGCTGGTTTTATTTTTACTCCGAGTTTCGCTCGAAAACCTGTCTTTCGCCTTTTGCCTGCGAGGAGGCGCGTTTAATATGCGAGAAGGTTGAAACGAATCGTTCGGTGAATTTCTTCTTTCTTTGTTTTGGCTCTACTGTGGACCTATTATTTAGGCGAAGATCTCTTTGAGAGTGTATTTGTAGAAGTATCTACCGTTTTTGCGGGGGGAGGAAATTTCGTATTTCGATAGTAGGTAAACGTACGAGTAGAACGTTTCATCGTGAACCCACACGATGATCCCGCGGCTTCGTTTCGCGGCCACGAAAATTGATAGCGCGTTACCATCGAGATGATCAAAGCGAGAGATATCCTCACGCTCGATTTGCATAATTACTATTATTTACACTTTTCGCCGAACCACTCGCGGTGCACGAGCCTTGAACTTTCCCCTTGAAAGCGAGCGAGAGAGAGAGAGAGAAAAGGTGAAAAAGCGAGTAGAAAGAGAAGGAAAGAAACAGAGAAAGAACGAAAGAAAGGGAGGATAGAGAGAGAGAGAGGATAGAGAGAGAGAGAGAGAGAGAGGGAGATTGAAACATTCCTGTCCACAGATATTTTCACCCTCGTGAACGCTGCAACCCTCCAGGTTCGACTTTGTCACGCGAGTTCTCGTTACATTCGCGGAGCGCGTACATTTCTC